CAGCACATAACAGAAAAAGAGAGAGAAAAGGAAAAGAAAGAAAGAAAACGTTGTACCTATAAATGATATGAGTTGGAAAGACGAGATCCAGTTGTTCTACTGATTATTTAATGAATTATAGGTGTCACGCCTAATGCTTTCTTTATCACACAGAACACGAGCCAAGTAGGGTATGGTTGAGTTTTTGTACTTGCTAGCGTGAGCATATAGTTTTCTGCATAGGCTTCTGGTTTTGCCTGATGAGATACAAGGGGAGAGTTGTGAATGAAGAGGGTGGTGTGAGTTAGCCAGGATGGATTTAGCCCATTTTTCACATAAGTTCAAGTGCCGGTCGACCAGAATATTAACAAGCTGGCTAAGTGGCACATTGCTTACCCTGCTGACAACCTTTAACACCCTACGTAATAAGATATAGTCCTTCTTCAGTAACCTTGGAAAAACTAAGGGGGAACAATAGAGAATAATAGGCAGAATGCAAGAGTTAACGAATCGTAAGAGTAAGGGTTAGGTTATTCCAGAAGTGGTCAATGTTTTCATAAATGTTTCCTATTTATAAAACTTTGTTTCGACTTTAGTTCATTCATAGTTTTAATCGATTTGTACTTGCTATGGTCTATTGTAATCGTCTCAAGAGGAATGTTTTCCCTGAAACCTTGTAAATAAGATTAATCATATTTGTTTCAAAATAGCAAAATTTCCATGATATATTTTGCAGCTCAAATCCGAATAGTAAAGAATGTGAAGCCTGAACACCCATCTAAGCTCTTAGAACATGCGAATAACAACGTCACGTCCACCCACGCACTATATCTATCTATATTTAAATGTATGCGTAAGTCACACGTACATGGAAGTGACTCATCGATCTCTATAACTAAGGGCTTAAGAAGATAGCGTGGCTATTCCATTGCGTGACATAACACAAAAATAGTTACAGGCCGTAAAATAGATGTTTATACGTATTAAAAATCTATCTAATGTGTTGAAAGGCGTATCTTAAAGTTTGTGGAAGCCCCAGAGAATAAGGAGTTTAAACCACCTTTATATCTTCAAGAACAATTTGTCATCACATTAAACCTTTCTTTGGGTAGGTTCACTATTATTATCTCCCTTCTTTGGTTTATTGATTTCCATTGTTATTTTGACCTTCAGTATGTGTGTTCTTCACTGAACTTGTGTCTATTCTTTCATCCCTTAACGCTTTATTATTTTCATATATATATATTCTTATGACAAGTACGTGTGTGATCAGATTGTTTGAAATGTGTTACGCACAAATACACATTACAAGATTGTCATATGCTAACTGTCCAAAGTCAACTACTAATTAGGTCAAACGTGAATATCACTCAAAATGAGACTGAACAAAACAAAACTGACAATTTAACCAAAGGTCAACCAAGTAAATAGAATATAAAAATGTTCAAGTTGTTGGTTTAGAGAGATTTGATTGGTTGGTTTCAAGATTTCGTTACGAATTGACATCGATTAGACGACCACTGGAATACTGGATGACTGTTTCGCCCTATCTTGGGACTCTTCATCGGTACGCATGCACTGAGGTTACAAGGCGAGCCTGTGGACCGTTAAGTCACTGAGACCTGATCCAATGGTCTGTGAATTCCAACTTCTGTCAATTCACGATGTGGTGCCACCACTAGCGAATGTCATCCCTGGTCAGTGTTTATCCTTACACTCAACCTACCGTACCCAACTGGTCACGACTTCCCACTAGAACACACTAGAAGAATGTTCATCAGTAGCTTTACTTCTTACTGGGTTGGCAAAACATAATATCGATTCATACAGGTTATGAAAATAACCAACCAACACAACAACAACAGCAGCAACATCCAGCGCCAATCACCATCAACGGAAGGGATTTGAAAGAGGTTACTTCATTCCCTTATCTAAGGGAGAAACGGACGAGGATGTCAAATCGAGAATCGGGAAGGCGAGAAACACATTCATCAACCTGACACCAACCAATCTGGAAATCTTCCGCTGCCACTCAACATCAACAACAAAATTTGGATTTTCAATACAAACGTCAAGTTAGTCAGTTCTTCTATACGGATCAGAAACTTGGCGGGTCACAAAGAATATTTCCAACAGCCTGTTGCAGACCTTTATCAACAACTGTCTTCGTTCTATACTAAAGAGCAGATGGCCGGAAAGAATCACCAACAAGAAACTATGAGAACAAACAAAACAAGAACCAATCGCTCAACAAATATGCAGGAGGAAGTGGAGATGGATTGGACACTCTCTGAGGAGGCCGTTAGGTGACATCGCGCGTCATGCCAGTGCTCGAGTGGGACTCGAAAGGGAAGCGGTGAGTGGGACGTCGAAGGGTGACATGGAGGAGATCGTGTGAAGAGGAGTTAAAACAGTATGGACTAACAGGGATTCAGGTAAAAAGTACAGCAGAAGACGGAAACAAGTTGAGACGTGTAGTTGAAGCCCTATGTTCCACTAGGAACCCAAGGGAACAAAATAATAATAATACAGTCATATATATTTAGTTTTTCACATCAAAGTTTCCACCATTCGAGTGGTTATTTTAGACCATCCGTTTTTTAGGTATAGGGAGGGGGAGTTGAAATTAAGAGGTTAAAAGTCATCAAAACATCAATAAACTGATAGATATCAGTAACAAGATAACTAAATTCTGAAGGAGGGGTGAAAATTAACTAATTATTGAATTCAAGATTCTTAGGCGTTATATACAAGAAGTTATTACGTAATCAAGAAATTTGTAAAATAGCCATGATGACTAAAAAGAATAGGAAGACACAGAAGAATCAGGTAAAATACAAACAACGTAATAGAATTAGCTAGATTTGTAGGAAATAGCAAAGTCAAAAGATAGTTATAAGGGGGAGGGAGAAAATCACTTATCAACCCTCTCTCTCTCCATCCTGTTACATTAGGTTTTAAAACTGTCATCTTATTGTGTGGTTGTGTATAACTGCGTGTACTGGGATAGCTGAACTATTCTGCAGATATCTTATCTCATTCAGGTCAACTAATCTGGATTTTTATGCTCCAGCAGTCTGACTGTCCCTGTTCTACTACTGTAACAACAGAAGACAAGGGCCAGGCAACAGATCGTTTATTAAGGAAAATCAACACATATTTATAGATTTTAATGTACATTATTGTAGATTATTGTTAGTAGAAAATACAGTCTTTTGATTGGTTGTTTCTCACAGAAAGTTAACCTTGTATCTCTTTGTGGCTGTGTCAGATCATCCATATGCTAACTGTATTCGCCTACGCGAAGCCTTTGTTCACATTTTCTCGCCACCAATATTGGGGACATAAACATTGACGTCAATTACTGTCTTCCAACTTTGGCTAGCAGCCAGCTCTCACCACACTACTAGTTTGATCTATGTATTTGACCTGACAATCATTCCAGTAGGGTATTACATGAACTAAATTGTTTTGTTTTATTGGCTCCACAGGATCCTTTGACCGAAAAAGTTTGTTTTTAATTTAGTCTGTGGGTCTGAATGTCACTTTATTCCTGCCTGTATTGTTAAGAATTCTCCATAAGTTTTCCGAGGTCTCTTCTTTGTATGGAAGTGCTAGTGGTGATTTATATTCCCTATTTTTGGTGTTGTCATTATCCTGTGCATGTTTGACATGCATGTCTTCATTAATATTATTATTATTACTAACATTATTAATTTTATTTTTACATTTATTAACATACTTCCTGATTAAATTCATCAGGGTAATTATCAAGTTTAACAGCTTTTCTTATATGCCCCACTTCATGGTCAACTCTGTCGATGAATTTGAGGTAGACTGCCATTCTATGCTTCATTCGATGATGATCACCGACGTTGGCGGCCTGCTTAAATCTTGGGCTACCAAATACCTTATAAATCATATTGCATCTAATTGCTCATTTCCAACTCATCTTAAATAGTTAAATCTTATTCAAATATGACCTCTAATCGGATTATTTATTCTCGTGAGTATTTAATATCCTTAAAACCTACTGATCGGAATTATCATAAAAAAGACAAAGAAAGCATCATGTCGGCTGACAAAGAGCCTTAAAAAATACCCCTATTCAACTTATGACTGTTCCTGCAATCATGAGTGCTAATTGTCGCTCCCCACCAGCTAAAATTAACTGTCTTCAATCACTCGTGTCTTCCATTATATATCGTAATACTGGGATCATATCACTTCAAGAAAAATGGCTACATGATCTATATGATGACAATCTAGTGTATCTGCATGATTTCCAATTATTCAGACAAGATCGATGTAGCTCTAGGAAGAAACGTGGTGGCGGTGTCGCCATCTTCATCAGTTCACAATGGTGTACATCTAATAAAGTATTTTTCAAATTCACTAGTGACAATATTGACTGCCTCACCTAAACATTTGTCAAAATATAACTACATATACATCTCGAACATTTATATTGCGCCTGGATGCAATTCCACAGAATCGTCTTTATTTGCGGATGAATTTACCTCCCTTGCTGCCACCTCCTTGTCTATAGTTACTGGAGATTTCAATTCTAGTGATCACAGCTTCCTTATCACGCTGAAAATTCCATACCTGTAGCAAAAATACTGTTTGGAATAAAGCTGTTATTATTATTATATAACATTGAGATTTGATTCGCACATGGCTGGCTTTTCGTGAATTCAACTGGTTCCGGGAGGAGTTTTTTTTAATCCAGAGCGTCTTTCAGTTTGTCTTGGTTTTAATTAATTAGGGATATACTAGAGCTAATTAGGGGTAGATTGGAATTACGTTGTGTGTGTGTGTGTGTGTATGGATTAGAGTTACACTTCAGTTTGGGGACCAAATCTAACTTTCAGTTCTACAACTCTTTCCAAGATCATTGTTCCGTTCCAACCTGTAGGCTGACCAAAGTTTTAACTCTGCCATTCTTCCTTCCTAATACGTCTTTTGCACACAGATTTCTACCGGTTAACTGAGTTACGCAACTTCACAAAAGAATCACATAGATAACTGAGAATGTATTTTATATATAAATAAATAAACTTTCACATATGCGCATAACTGACAATTAGAAACAACAAAAAAGGCCAAATAAAAGTTTTCGTTGTGAAATTAGCAAACAGAAAAGGTGAAAGGCGCATTGATCGATTGATTGATTTGATTATCTGTATAATGCCGACATTGACGGTAAGAATAACAATTACAGTAGTACAATTAGTAGTAGTAGAGGTAGTAGTAGTAGAAACAGTATACATTAAAATCAGAGAGCGTCTACCCTGTCACAACAATCAATGTTCATTGTTTAACAAATTAAAAGAAAAGGCGCGCAAAATTCAAAATTATCAATATAAACAACAGAGCTTTCTTTTTATTACACTACTTTTGTTGAATACGTGATTTAATTAAATCTGCTAATATAGTAGAATCTTTAGCAAAACGTCGTATCCCTTCAGCTAATTTATCACTAGCCATTTCATCTTCATTCATATACCAACGAAATTCTTCCTCAGTTAATGGATGATCTGGTCGATGAGCATGTTGAACACTTGGTGATTTAGCTAATTATGAAATGGAAAAAAAAAGTGGAAATTTAAGAAAATAAACAATTATTGAATACAAAATATTCGAGCAAAGAATATTCTTTTCGATAAATTCCTCTTCCCGCTCCACAATCATATATATATATATGTTTATATACATAGAATATTCTAGATTAGTAGTCAGTAACAATATTGGTGTTTTTTAAATAATATCGATTTGTGAAGTAAGATCACAATGGAATTACAGTTCATTAAAGATGCTTAAATTATACTAATGATAAAGATATAATAGCGAATAGAATATCAACTAAAATTAGGGAAATTCCACAAAAATTCATGATCATTCAAACCTAGATGGCCAAGGTAATGATAATGTCTGAACTAACTTCTTATGGATGCATAAATTAGGCTTATTAATATGGCTCACCACAGCCTCAGCAATGTTTAGTAGTCGAACTCTTAAGGCAAAACTGAGGTTCGTAAGTATGCGGTAAATTACCCTGAAAGCATGGGTAACGTCAGTCTTGTGTTCTTTATCCACAAGATGAGACAGAATAGCGCTGCGAATAGATTTTGTTTGTCCTTGGCTTAACCACGCAGGGTGATGTCCGGAAATTCGACGAGAAAGCTAGAGGCTTGAAGTTTTAGTAGCAATGGTGTTTATTTTTACGGGATGGGGTTGCTAGCCTCATGCCCAACCTTCCCTCTTTACCAGCTTTATTTCTGGCTTAGCGAGGTAAAGGAGTGCGTCGGCCGGGAATCGAGCCCCGGACCATATGCATGGTCGGCGAGCGTCCTAACCGCTGTGCCACCGACGCAACGCAGTGATACACCCATTGACTGGGTATTGGTTTTCAGAAGAACCAAACACACCCATCCCTGCCTCTTGCGAGACGAGACCGGCATGCAGGATCATCCTGTGGCGCAACCACTCGACAGCCCTCTCCCTCAGTGGACCAGCATCACGACTCCTTGGATGAAATGAAGGAAATCGTTCAAGTTAAGAGCTTGGAATGGTATCACATATGACTCAAAATAAAAGTCAATACTAGTTATGGTACAGTTGTAGATTCTTTGAGATTTACATTGCCACGACCTCAGATATAAAGGATATACACGTAGATGACACTCCGCCCTAATTAGAATCTAAAATGGTACTTTTTCTTCATTCCTTGAGTTGCAGGTGAGTGGAAAATACGACTCATTCTATGGTGGCAGTGGCATTTTACTTTACTGCCGTACGGTAAACTAGGCGAGGTTTAGTAGTGCGTCAGCCGGGAATCGAATTCGGGTCATCTGAGTAGTTGGCGAGCATTCGACTGGTATTTGCATGCAGTTGTTATCAGTCAGTCATGGCCTATGATGTAATAGTGACGAGATGTGGTTTACCGGCTGAAGCACTTAGCTTCAAGGTAACAGGTCTCGGGTTCGAGCTCCAGTTCAATTAAATTCAGCTTGACGGACTGGAGGCCACAATCAGCCAAACCCCAAACAATATGTGTGACTCATAGCCTAGTAAATGGAAAAATTATTTTAGATGACTGAGTTGTAGTCGGTTCTAAGTGTCTGTAGGCTAATGAAAAAAACTACCCGGCTCCCCAAACCTCAGTGGATACATCAATATAAACCTGATACATTCTCTTTTCCTCTCACTCTCCCTACCTTTTGTGTCGCCTACACATAATTAATATCAAATTTAGACCTATTGTTATAACCTCTCCTTTTCTAAAAACTATGTAAAAGTTGCTCTTACTTTAATCTTGAGTCTTCACCTAAAGCTTTTTATTCTACCAACCAATTCCCCTACAAATATAGTAGAAGCACTTTAGATGCCGCTACAGTCTTGCATCATAACATAGTTGCCAGTTTAGACAAGGGGGCTAAATTTGTTCGCTGCACCTCCCTAAATTACACATTTGCTTTTGACTCAGTACGTAGAGATACTTTGTTAAATAAGCTTGCTGAAACTCAAACTGACTGTTGGGTTGTCAAATGGCTGGATTCTTATTTCTCCGGAAGAAAGCAGTACACTGTATGTCAGGGAAAGACATCCACTTCATTGCTTACTGAGACTGCCATCCCACAAGGCGTTATCCTTTCTCCTTTTCTGTTTTCTTTCTTCTTGAATGACTTGCCTCACTCTGACGACATGAACTTTGTTAAGTATGTAGACGACCTAACTGCTTTAATGCCTGTTAACTCCCAGCTAAACTGTACTAAGATGAACAGCTTTCTATCAGGAGTCAGCAAATGGTCTTTGTCTAGTGGTCTTAAACTAAATATTTCCAAATGCCAAACTGTTGTTTTCAGTTTCCGATGTAAAAGAAAGTTAAATGAAGCTGTTGCTTCCTATGACCATTGCAAAATTGAAGATAGTGATATAGAAACCAAGTCTGACATTAAGTATCTCGGATTAATTCTTTCTTCTGATCTATGCTTGTCTTCCCATGTCTTGGTGATTTCTAAAATATATTCCGTCTGACTTTTACATTAAGAAAATAAGGCACTCAGCGATAACTCAACCACTCCTCATACAGTTTGTCTACTCGTGCATCTTACCTATTCTTCTTTACTGTTCACCCTTATTCTTTCCTGGATTGCTTAAAAAAGACTATATTATGTTTCGCAGAACTCTGAAGACTGTCAGCCAGTGGGGCAAGTGGTATCCCATACGTTGACATCGTCATTGACAGGCACTTGATTTCATGCAACAAATTTGCTAAAGGGATTTTGTCAGACTGTCAGCATCCACAGCAGCACCCGCAGCTCCAGCCTTGTGTCTCCTCAGATAAAACGAGAAGTCGTTTCAAAAGACTTTATGTTCACAAGTCTAAGAATAAAACTACCACGACACCATATTTGGCACGAATTTTATGTGACGAAAATAGTGTCAGACAAGAACTAACTAAGCAACCTTCATACCACTAGTAAATAAACAATTTTCTCCATCCTTATGCCACCAAGGTTTACTGTTATTGCTCTTCTTATATTTATAATTCTCTTATTTTTTGTTTTGTTTATTTTCTTATAAGTGTAAACACCATTTAAGCTTTGTAATAATTGCTTTGGTTTTTTTGGTTTTTCCCTTCATCATGCTAAACCAAGCGAACATTAGATTCAATACTCTATATATAACATGCTGAAATTTTCAAACTGTATCGACAATACTGCTGGAGACAAACCCACTGTTATTATTATCAGTAGCAGTATAGTTATTATTCTCATTTTGTACTTTGCATATTTTTGACTTTATTCCTACCATAAATGTCGACAAATTCCTGTGGTTAATTTTATTTATACAGTTTGAGTAAACTAGATGTAATATTGTGACAAATTCTGAGAATTCCATTCTGTATTATAAGTACTGTTTGTTACAGGATTTCATCATGAACTGACATCAGTTAGAGAATCATTGGAAAACCAGCTAGGAGTACTGGACAGGTGTTTCGTCAGCCTAGTTTGGGACTCCTCATCAGTACGTACCCACAACACAGGGTTCAAACCTAGGACATTCTGGTCACAAGGCGAGCTAGCTCGTAGACCATTAAGCAGCCACTGGGACCCGGATCCAGTGGTCCACAAATTCCAACTTTTGCCAATTCACGACATAGTGCGACCGTACTGCTGAAGAGTCCCAAACTAGGACAAAATGGCTGGATGTCCAGTACTCCCAGGTGTTTCAACAGTTCTCCAACCGATGTCAGCTCATGATGAAATCCTGTAACCAATCAATCAAATCGCTACAAACCAATACTTGAGTACTGTTTGTCTTGGAATAAAGCAGATTATTATTATCATTATTATTATAAATTCACCTGTCCATTTAAACAATATAAAAATATAAGACAGTAAACATTGACTTGCTCTATAAAAAACGGATTTTATCATTACTATCCATTAGGGTGTTTATTTTCATTTACAATTTATCGACCTCTAAACAAAAGGTTCACCTTTATTAAGGTGTTTTACGTGATTGACAATTTATGTAAGTCATATTTTTCAAGAAAAAATAAACCAAAGATTATCAAGTGAAGGGTCACAGAATGATTGACATCAGAGTAGTTAGAGAACTACCAATATAAGCCAGCCAATCCAATACGGAACACTTATTTCACTCCAGTGTGGGACTGACTTTCCAGTACGATACACCTATGGGTCCAAAACCAACTGCATGAGATTAAACCTAGGATCTTCAGATTACATGACGAAGCAATTGACTTTTCAGTCAATTGGACGGAGAGTCATTTGATTAGTCTGTGTATGCTTTATCTATTATTATATTCTCTCCCGAACTTCTTGTGAACATGAAGAGTGATAGATAGAAATCTTTACAAAATTATGAGAGTAGAAACAATACGATGAGTGGGCACTTTTTGATTGGTTACAACAAAAACCCACTGAAAACCACGGAGTACTAGGTAGCTAGCTACCTTGTCCCACTATGGAACTCTTCAGCAACACTCAGTCATGGTCCCACCAGGGATCGTACCTAGGATCTTCAGGTTACAAGGCGAGCTTGTGGATCATTCAGTGACTGAGATGGAAACAAAATGGTTATCAGTTTTAAATTCTGGCGATTAACGGCATGTAGCACTATGACCTACCTGGCCATTGTGTCATTGGCGAGTATCCATCTATCCTCACACAGAACCTCGATGAACCCCATAGGTCCCAACTTTCGACTAGAACACAAGATAACCTCATCCTGTAGCCAATCACTATTAAGCATTAAATTAATTGTCAGTTACAGGATTTCATCATGAGCTGACATTAGTTAGAGAACCATTGGAAAACCAGCTGAGAGTACTAGACAGCTGTTTCCTCCTAGTTTGGGACTCTTCACCAGTACGCACCCACCACCAGGGTTCAAACCCAGGACCTTCTGGTTACAAGGCGTACTCGTAGACCATTAAGCCACTGGGACCCGATCCAATGGCCCATGAATTCTAACTTCTGCCGATTCACGACACAGTGCGACCCCTAGCCAATTCTCGGCGACCTGCTGCACCCTACTGGTCACGACTTCTCACTAGAACCCCAGGTAACTACCTACCTGAATAGGGCAAGTCGCTAGTGAGCACCTCGTTGATATTCAAGTGTTGGTTTGCGGGGATTTGGCTGATCAAGTGATCAAGTTAGATCACGCGCTAACATCCGCTAAAGAACCAGTGGATCTCTATATACATGCATTCCTCTGAGTTCCGAATGGAATATATAGCTTCAAGCTTTAATCATTGACGCTTCAGTAGTACTTATGTTTTTTGAACAAGTGAGGTTGCTAGCCCCACCTCCAACCTTTTCCCTTTTCCTGACTTATTACCGGCTTGAAGAAGTTTAGGAGTACGCCGACCAGGAGTCGAACCCGGAGCACAAGCTTGTCCAATAAAATTCTATTATTCTTCCATATGACTATTCTTCTCTTCTCAAATTTCTGTTTATTATCTCTATTTTGAATCTCTCTCTTTACTCTCTTCCGTAGCTTTGTGTGCTACATGGAGAGAGAGAGAATGGCAACTCGAAGTGCTACATATCTGTGCAAAGTTCTACGTTGAAACCAGTCAGTCATTCAGTCAGTCGGCGGGCACTCTACCTCTGAACCACCAACGCAAACAACTGGCCTCTAGTCGATGTCATTTTCTTAGAAATATATTTTACAAATTTTCTTTTCAAAATCTTTTTCTCACAACTTCATACTTTTCCTTGTTATTAACTTTTAATTTAATGTGATAAGAAAAAAATCAACAATGTACAACAATTGAACATTGAGCACAATGTGTTCAATAACCATGGATCAATAACTGAAATGAACTTAACTAAATTTCATGCAGTTATAACTTATGATCACAAGAAAATGAGAAATGGACAAATCACGCGCTTCACTTAAAAGACGTGATTTTTTTTCAAAGTTCAATAAGTTAAAACATGCTACAGCCTTATAACTGTTTAAGAAATCTTATCTCTAAGTTAGCTTAATACTTCACAATAAGGAAAGAAAAAATTAAAACGACTTGAAGTTTAGAAGGAAAGTTATAGAACTACGGAAAACCAGGCATTTACTAGACAGATGTTTCCGCCTAGTTTAGGAGTATTCATCAGTGCATCAGATTTCCCAAGAATCTAAATCAGAATTATTATTATTATCTCCTTTAATTCACCCTCGCACTGACGACCAACTCACCGCTTCCCATTCGGGTTCCACTCGAGTAATGGCCTGGCTTGTCATGTAACTTGATGGTTTTCTCATTTGTTATACAATTGGTTCCTGCTGGGCTGGTTCGTTCATTGCCAGAGATCCCTGTTGCTGATCTTTTCTGGCCATCTGATCTTGAGTAGTATTGAGCGAAGACAGCTACTGATGAAGGTCTGTAGTTTGTTCAAAGTGCCCTTCATGATGCGGCGCCAAGTCTCTGATCCGTATAGTAAGTAGCACTGACTTCACATTGGAGTTGAAAATCCGGATCTTATTTTTGATGCTGAGTAGTGCTGTCGATCTCGACACAGACTTGGGAGTAATGAAAGCTTGCCTTGCTTACCAGATCCCGGCGCTTTGATATCTTCATCAGTTCCGTCTGTCTGTAGTTGAAACGATGCTTCCCAGGTAGGTAGGTAGGTGGAGGTTGCTTCTTTCAGATTCCTCCCATTTATGCTGATTGTTGTCTGAACCTTCATGTTAATTGACAGGAATATTCACTGTTTAACCACTACGCTAGGGTCTACGAATTCTAAGTTTTGTCACTGTCATCAGTATCTGTCTTCATCTCTTCTTAAGTAGACCCTGTAGGTCCCAACTCAACAGAATCCGATGACATCCAACGATTATTTCATCAAAATATTGACATACAACATTTTCACTCATTATCAGAAATTGTAACGTACAAACATACGAACAAGTCTGTTATCATTAACATTGTTGTTGTTCATATATATATGGCTTGTAGAGACCGGTAGGGTCCTCCAAACCGACTGTGGAGATAGATACTCACTGATAACATTGGAGATAGATTGTGCGAATTGATGGAAGTTGAAATTTATGAGCCATTCAACTTCAATTTAGTTGCTGAATAATACACCTGCTGGCCTCATAACCTCAGTATCATGGAGTTGACCTATTTTGGATGATTAGTAAAGACTCCCAGACTGGGGACAAACAGTTGCTTGGCGCTCCCTGATTTTCAATGATTTTCCAATGTTTAAACTGATTACTGTGTATGCTCCGTCGGTGGTTTCCATGGCAGAATGCCCACCAGTCACGTACTAGCTTCTAGTTCGATTCTCAGCCGACGCATTCATGAACCTCGCCTAGTTTCTTAACCAATACTAGGCTGGGAAAGAGGGAAGGTTGAAACGTAAGGCTAGAAACCTCACATCATAAAAAACCAACAACACTGCTAGTGAAACTTTGTAGATTGAAGGAAAACATTTTCTACTCAGGATACGTAAAGAATGAAAAAGAAAACTGTCTATGCTGGTGAAATTATCTCAGTGACTGGTATTTTATAACTAAACATTTTCAACAACAAACTGATAATGACACTACCTACTCGTAAGTAATAGCAACAGCACTCGAACCCCAATCAGATACTGATCAGCAGTCTGCTTCGTCCTACTTTATGGCCGTGAGACATGGCCATTGAAAGTGGAAGACATGGAAAGGGAGGCTAGCTGTCTTTGCCCATAGGTGCCTGCGTTATATCTCCCATGTTAGGAAGTGGTATAATAAGGTGAGGAATATTGAAGTTAGGCATCGGTCTAGTGCTAGATAAGGGGGGAGGGGAAATCAATAGACGAGGTTGTGAAGCAGCTGCATCGATTGAGATGGTTAGGACATGTGTTACGTATGCCTAGCCATCACCTTCGTCGACCGACGGGCAATGTTAGGTGACATAGGATGGATCAAGTTGCAAAAGAGCCAGTGGTAGTCAATCCGAAACATGGCTTCATCAGTCAATGAAATCCACAACAGTTAGTGTAAGCCAACCAGCCAAGTATAGAGGTGTAGACTTCTTGACTGGTTGGGGTCCTCGGGACGGGAAAAACCATTGAAGAAGGCTGTAGACATTTGGTGATATGGCTCAAATTCATCGTTCTCAATGGCTGGTGCAGATGCATCCACTCCTTTTGACTTATAATTTCCAATAAAACTATATTGTTCTTCGATATTACTATTCTTTTTGCCTCATATCTCTGTTTACTGTCTCTGATTTGCATTTCTTTTTACTTTCTTCTCTTGCTTTGTGTGCTAAGTGAAGTGTGGCGACTCGAACTGCTGCACATTGGTGCAAAGTTCTACGTTGAAACCAGTCAGTCAGTCAATGAGATACGACAAGTTGCGCATCACTATGACGATGGTGACACGGAGAAGATCACATGCGAGGAAAAGGAGTAAATGAAAGCTTGTGAGTGGTCTTAGAGACAGCTGGAAATGATGTCAGAGAATTGCATGGAGTGGAGATATACTACTGGAAGCCCGATGCTCTACTTGAAATCCAATGAATGGATGATCGATGAATGTTAAACGTACGTACACTTATAAGAATCAATAATACTTTATTATCACTCACCTTTTTCTACACTTAAGCAGACAGAAGGTACTTCAGACATTTTACTTAATTCTTCTAATAAACTTGGTGCTATTGTTAACAGATCACATCCAGTTAGGCCAAGAATTTGATTGACATTTCTGAATGAAGCGCCCATTATCTAAAAGTAAACGAAAAATAGAGAAAGATAAAAACAAACAAGTTAATAGCACAAAGTATCCATGCAAAATAGAATATATGCGGGGTTCTGTATTCAGAGCATCTTTCAGTCCTTCCCCAACCCACCCCCACAGGACGATGTGACACACTAGTTTGCTCATACAGGACAGGAAAATAATTCCGCGCCAGTTCCTACATATTCCTAAGTCGACCCTCCTCAGCAACTTGACGAGGTAGTCCTCCACCCATTCGGTAGACACCTTTCCTTCCTCCCAAACCATCTACAATAGTGATGTGAGCATATCTCCTGTGACCTCTAGGTCCATTTTCAGTGAGTGCTTCAGGAAGAATTCCGCCCGGTCCAACTGCTTTCCTGACTTTCAGTAACTTTATGGCATTCAAGACCATTTTCTATGCGGGTGAGTTTGCTAGTCTTATGACTGACCTTTACCGGACTTATTACAAACTGAGGCTTCATGAGTGCGTCAGCTGGGAGTCGAACCTCGGACCACATGCGTGGCGTGGTTGGCGAGCATTCTACCACTGAACCACCGACGTCCAACCAATCAATACAAGACTATTTATATTGATTTGTGCACACATACCAGATTCAGACAAATAAGCAAGAAAATACTAATAATTTACAAGTCATTATTTAATATATCTTATCACTAATATACATACATTTCATCCTACCTAGCATAAAGAAAGAAAGGAATTCAGATTCTATGGTATTCACAAAAATATAATGAAACTAAATCAACTTAATGGAGGTTCTAATTAGCTTATGAACTTAAGAAGTGTGCTCGCGCGCGTGCGCCACACACGCACAGACAGGGGGAAAGCATATATATACATACAAAAGAAAATTCGATGGACCATCATATATATTGTCATATTTGTGATGTAATGTAATAAAACAACATTATGAATTATTCAGCTACCGGAGGCCAACTGAATGGTCAGCCCAACTGAATTCCAATTTTTATTTTATATTTTTTTGATCATAACTTGAAACCACACAGTATTTTTGGTACAAGTATGGAATTTTCAGCATGTAATATCGGTAGCCCAAATTTTGCAGGCCGACCATAGATATCAGGTGTGCGTCGGCAGGGAGTCGAACGGGGACCATGTGCATGGTCGGTGAGAGTCCTAACCACTGTGCCACCGACGCAATTCACGGATTTTAGGGCAACCACCAGCCAACTAATGTGGGTCTAGACAACCTATTGGAAGGGGAAGAAACAGCTGTTCAGTACTTCCCGTCGGTTTTCAATGATTCTCTAACACTGACATCAATCCGTGATCAAACTTGAAACAGGTCAAATCCCTACAGACAAACTCTTGAAAATTAATCGATTGCTCACTAGTGACCGTCTGCAGGATGAAGTTTCCTGGAATTCTAAAGGGAAGTTGTGACCAGTTGGGTCCATCCGATTGGGAGTGAGAACAAATACTCGCCATGAATAAAACTGGCTGGTGCAAGTCGCGCTAAAATCACGAATTGGTAGGAGTTATAGTTCATGGACTGGCCAGTGAATCGGATCCCAGTAGCTGGATGGTCTATGAGCTTTCCTCGTAACTAACAGGCTATAGCTTCGAAACCCGGCGGAGGTGTACGACCGATGAGTCCCAAATTATGGATCATACCTAATATATACATTATACAGCTATTCAAAGCAAGTATATATATATTTTTTTTCCTTCACGTTCCCAGTGGAACATAGGGCCTCAAGCTAGTGGCTTGAAGTTTCTGTAGCAGTGTTTAATTTCTCCAGGATGGGGTTGCTAGCCTGATGCCTAACCTTTCCTCTTTACCAGCATTATTTCTGGCTTAGCGAGGTAAAGGAGTGCGTCTGTCGGGGATCGAACCCCGAACCATGTACATGGTCGGCAAGCAACCTAACAGCTATACCACCGACGCACAAGTACATATGTGGTATTAATAGAAAAATACTCCCAAAAATCGATTATTTACTAATAACTACCTGTATTACCAAACAGAATATGTTTTTTAAGGAGAGTAGATGACTTGAGGACATTTACACACACACACACACGCCTCAACCTTGAACTTTAATTTCCTTCTTCCTACTGTCCATTATACTTACTAATAATTATGAACTTATTTAATGGAGAATCTTTTATCAGAATTCATATACTTTAATAAGTATAGCCACTGATTCCCTAAACGAATATACACATAAATATACACCATCTCATCAATAAAATGACTTTTAGTCTGAATCACGGTAACTAGTACTGGAATCCATGATGAACATTTCTTCCTGTTCAGGAAGGCAGAAACAAAGAAAGAAAGAAAGAACAGTAACACGGAGATAACAAAGAGTGTCGGACGATTTTAAGCCATATCACCAATAGTTTCCAACCATTAGTTCTTAGCATCTAGAAGACTTCAACAAGGCAGTCTACACTCCATTAAGTGGATGAGACTCAAATAAACAGTCAAACACTTCATGTAATGTTGCCAGGTTTTAGTCTGATCACCCTTAACATTTTTCCAATCCAATTCTATATCAGCTAACATTTCTCGTAGAAGAAGGCAGTGACTCGGCATATGCGAAATGTGTCCAAGTCAGATTATAGTCAATGTTGCTTCATAACCTTTTCAACTGAATTACCCTCCTTGTGTTAATATCCGTGATCAAAGACACTTATAGCCTTTTCATACAACCTGGTGAAGAATTGGTCAAAAAATATCACTCCGCGCTCAATCTTTTCGTCTTTTAAATGCCTCAGTTGAGAAGGTTTACTGTTTCTATTTCATTAGCGAAATCATTAGTGAGTCACTTTCATCCAAAATGAATAAAACTGATGTCAGCTCATAATGAAATCCTCCAACCAATCAAACAAACAGGTCGGTTTTCCACATAGAACTTTGCACATATGTGCGGCAGTTCAAGTCGCCACACTCTATGTAGCACACAAAGCAAGAGAAGAAAGTAGGAGAAATGCATAGTATAGACAGTAAACAGAGGTGTGAGACAAAGGAATAGTAATAACGAAGAACAAAACAGTTTCATTGGAAATCATAAGTCACAAGGAGTGGATGCATCTGCGCCACTGAGAACGATTTTGAGCCATGTCACCAATTGTTTCCAACCATTGGTTTTTACCGTCCCGAGGACTCCAACCAGGAAGCCAGTCTACACCTTCCTACGTGGCTTAGACTAACTGTTGTAGATTTCATTGACTGGTGTCATGTTTTGGTTTGACCGCCGCTAGCTCTTTTCCAGCCTGATCCTATATCAGCTAACATTGCCCGTCGAGGAAGGCGATGACTAGGCATACGTAACACATGTCCTAACCATCTCAGTCGATGTAATTTCACAGTCTCGTCGATTGATTTCCCCACCTTACCTAGCACTCGACGCCTAACCTCAATATTGCTCACCTTATTATACCACTTCACGCGGGAGATAGAACGCAGACACCTATGATCGAAGACAGCTAATCTTTTCATGTCTTCCACTCTCAATGGCCATGTCTCACAGCCATAAAGGAGGATGGAGCGGACGCCCTTTGGTCGATAGTCGGATATCGCGTTTACGAAAACAAATACATGAAAATTGATCTGATGATCACTAGCGACTGGCCCTATTCAGGTAGGCAGTTAACTGGGGTTCTAGTGGGAAGCCGTGACCAGTAGGATACAGCAGGTTGAAGGTGAGGCAGTAACTCATCGAAGAAGACATTGCGAAGTGGTCGCGTTATGTCATAAATTGGCAGAAGTTAGAATTCATGGACTGGCCATTGGATTGGCGGGTCCCAGTAGCTTAATGGCCTACGAGCTAGCTCGCCTTGTAACCAGAAGGTCCTGAGTTCGAACCCCGCAGTGTGGGTGCGTACTGATGAGGAGTCCCAAACCAGGACGAAACAGCTGTCCAGTACTCCCTACAGGTTTTCCAATGATTCTCTAACTGATGTCAGCTCATCATGATGAAATCCTCCAACCAATCAAACAAACAAAATCCCTACAAAAAACCAATACTTGAAAATATTACAGTACTTGAATCGAAACAGTCAAGTATAACGCGATGATTAAGTGAGTCAGGTGAGCTTACTTGTGTTTTATAATCATGAGCTTTGTAATAATTATAGATACTTGTAACCAATTTGACACCAGGATCATCTTGTCTTGAGAATTCTTTTTTACCATGCTTGGCTGTATACCAATCCAGCACTCGTCCAACAAAGGGTGAAATCAACGTGATCTTAGCTTCAGCACACGCCACAGCCTATAAATTATGTGGAAAATATACAGGTTCAATGATTACTAGCATTATAATGCAGAAAATAAATAGATATTTGAAAGGTTGTCAACCACAATTCATGAGTATATTTTATATTTATTTCTATTGTTTACAAAATGATGTTACTCGCTCGGTGTCTTTGTTTTCCTACATTTTCAGAGTTCCGAGTAGAACCTACGGCCTCAAGCTTCGAAGTTTTAGTAGGGGGGGTGTTGCTTTATTTCATGAGGTAGGGTCGTTAGCACCACGCCTAACCTTCCCCGTTTTTACGGCTTACAACCAGATAGTAAAGTAGCTGAGGTTTCAGAATGTGTCGATCGGCTGTTGGACCCGGACCTTCCACCGCTTGACTGACGAGCAATCTATCATTGAAGCACCTAGGCTACTTGTTGTGCGGATGCAGTTGTAATGGTGGCGTAAATGTTGAACGTTAAATGAGTCGAGGAAGTCATAATAACATGTCATAACGCATCCACATCAAGTTCACGTTTAGAAATGATGGGGAAGATTTGTAGCTCAGGTGGATGATTTTGATGTAGTTATGTTCTCTGAGCTGGGTGGTTTACTTGCGAAACTTTCATTCTTTTACTAGGCAACATCTTCAGCGCATACTTCAATTTGAAGTGAGCCGTTAGATTTCTCCACGAGTTCACTATTAGTCATCTCCAGATGACCTTGAACATAATTAGTTGTCTTTGTGTGTTTTCACACCCTTTAGGTTACTTGCATTGGTAATGGTGTTGGTTGTTTCCTTGACGTGGAGTTTGACCCTCTGTGTGTGAGATTCCCTTCTTATGGATTGGTAAATTTTGTTTATGTCAATATGTCTATTGATTGACGATTCACTGGAACTCCAGGCTTCTAAAAATTCTCTGGTATTCTTGGTGTTTCCTATGTCTAGTATTAGAACGTTGTCCCAATCGAACTGATGTCCATGGTTGTCTGTATGGCGTGATATGAGGGAGTGGACGTGATGTCTTTTGACGGATAGTTTATGTTCATGGATACGAAGAAAGTCAAATGTAGTGTTTTTCGCAGTTGTTACAATTTATTTTGTAGATGATGTTGGTTTTATCCTCGTTCGTTGTCGAGTCTTTTGGTTGACACAGGGATGGCTGGCTGAGTGAAGTGATTTTGTTGGTTTGTGTGCAACGTCAGTTCCTAAAGCTTTGAAGAGTCTTGCAGTGAATAGTTTAATAGTTTGAGAAAATTTGGACATTCGGTATATGATATTCATTACTATAAAAGTTTTCGTATTTCCCAACGAATGAAAAACAAAACGATATTATTTTTTACTGATGTTTAGCTATTTAATGCTGTTAATAGCTCTATCAAAGTGTTATTATTAAACCTGAATTTACAAAATCCACTCAGCTTATATATAACTTATAGAAACACGTCAGAGGATATCAGAAGAGTACTCAATAAACACAACATCAAAGTATTTTCTTCAAAACATCAGACACATTAAAAAAGCAACCATGTCCCTGTTAAAGACCAAATTCCAAAAGATTCACAATCTAATTATGTCTATAAAAATGAAATGATTGGAATGTGATGCAATATACACCGGACAAACCTCGTCAGAGAGAAATCAAAATCAGAAGAAATGAACACCTCTAGAACACCTATTCGACCAAGCCACGAAGAAATCCAAATGACCTAGAAAAGCTTGAAAAATCATCAGCCATGGGTCTTCTACACGCTATAGAATCAGGCCACAAAATACTGAAATCATCCAGAAAGCTTTCAAAGCTCCAAGGAAGCACCTCATTTGAAATGGAGTCCAAAGTTTCTGAATAGGAATGATGGAATAAGAGAGAATTTGACATGGTTCCGACACCCACCCACTCGCGATGACGTGATAAAGTCGACACAAATGTGATAAGCAATTTCATTAAGTAAACACATGCTCCTTTTATAATTTTATACGCTTATCAAAATCCAACAATCTATATTTGCTTTTGTTATCTTTACCGATTGCCTGACTTGACAAAGTAAAAATTCACCCGTGGTGATGAAGTATGATTAAGCTGAGTGGATTTTGTAAATTCTGGTTTAATACTACTTTGATAAAGCTATTAGCGGCAGCATTAAATAGCGAAACGTCTGTAAAAACAACAATATCGTTTTGTTTTTCATTCTCTGGGAAATACAAAACCCTTTAATAATAATGCATATCATAATAACACAACCAATCAGTAAGCCAAAACAACAACAAAACTTCTCCCATTAATGGATGAATGTATCACAGGACAATTGTATGGGAAAGACAGATAGAAATCGGTTAGAGAACCACTGAAGACCAACAGGGAGCCCTAGAAAGCTGTTCCGTCCAAGTCTGGGACACATCGACAGTATGCACCCATCGGGGTTCGAACCCACGGCCTTCTCGTTACAATCAAGCAACCTCGTTGACCATTCAGCCACTACCAATTCGTGAAATCGGGGCTACCATCAGCCAATGTCATCCGTGGCGAGTATCTATCCCGACTCCCACCCGCGTGGATTGCACTGGTCGCGACTTCTCAGTAGAACTCCAGGTAACTTCTCCATGTAGTCAGTCACTCGGGAGCATCAAATTAATTTTCCCGAATTGGTAGAGGTTGGAAATCAATGGATGGTCATTTAGTCGGGTCCCAGTAGCTTGACTTGCAACCGAAAGCTCCTGAGTTCGAACTCCGGGTGGTCGGTGCGTACTCTCGATGAGTCCCAAATTAGGCTGACAAGACAGCTGTTTAGTATTTCCTGTTGCTGCTGCTGCTGGATTCAACATAGAACTTGACACTGAGGTGCAGCAGTTCGAGTTGCCACGTTCCAAAGAGCACACAAAGGTAGACAAGAAAATGAGTGAAGAGAATCAATGGAGTTCTGATAAGTATTAAAGTGAAACAGAATGAGTAATGGTAGAAAGGAATATGAAAGGTTAAAGAGGCTGAATACATCTGCGCCACTGACAACGATTTTGAGCCATGTCACCTATTGTATCCAGCCATTGATTCTTAGAGTCCCGAGGGCCCCAACCCGGAAGTCTGCATCTCCCTACCTGACTCAGTTTAACTGTCAGGGATTTCATGGATTGATGAGGCCATGTTTTTGTTTGGCCACCACTTGCTCTTTTCCAACCTGCACCTATATCAGCTAGTAATGCCCGTCGGGGGAGGCGATGGCTAGGCATGCGCAGCACGTGACCTAACCATCTCAATCTATGTAACTTCATAGCCTCTTCGAGTGATTTTCCCTCTTTGCCTAACACTCTATGCCTAACGTCAACATTACTTACCTTATTATACCACCTAACGCGAGAAAGAGATCGTAAACATCTGTGGTCAAAAACAGACAATCTCTTCATGTCTCCCGCTCTCAATGGCCACGTCTCACTACCATAGAGAAGGAAGGAGAGAACTGATGAGCAGTATACACGTCCCTTGGTTGATAGCCGAATGTCACGCCTACGCCTAGTATTCCCTGTTGGCTTTCAATGGTTCCCTAACTGATATCAATCCGTGATCAAACTTGAGAGAAATCAAATTCTTATAAACAAACTCTTGAAAATCAATAAAGATTTGTCCATTCCAGTATGCCTATACAAAATGTGAACACAATTACCACCACGTGTGTAGTACATTAGCTGAAGTATTGTCAATGATTAATATAAAGTTATTAAATATTCATCTACTAAGTGAAGAGTTTTCAGTAGTGAAACAAAAGTCATGTACATTTACTACTACTAACTGTAATAACAAACAGATTGAAAACAGGAAACTTCGATTTAAACAGGGTATAATGAAAACGAATATAATTGCGAGATGACCTTATCATTTCGTAATGATAATAATTTGCTTTATTCCAGAACAGTACTTGTGATACAGAATGGAATTCTCACCATTTTTACTACAGTATTGCATCCAGTTAGTACATTAACAATAAATAAAATTCTACATAGATTAAGGGTAATCTCAGTTAGTTTTGACAAAAACATATTGGCATGTCGGTAGCAAAGCCAAAAGTGAACAGAATGTTTGAAGGTGTTAGAAAAGAAGACACTAGCATATTTACTGGCGTAAGCGGTAACAAAAGGTGGAGATATTCAGAGTGTGAAAGAACGAAGAAGAATGTTTTAATAAAGTTTGTTAGGGAGGAAGAAACAAAGCAGCACATAACAGAAAAGAAAACAGAAAAGGAAAAAGAAAGAAAACATTGTACCTATGAATGATGTGAGTTGGAAAGACGAGATCCAGTTGTTTCCCTTTACGACCGCCTTACAAATAACAAGGTTTACAGTTATAATAAAATAAAATGTCTGGAAAGTAATCAGTTGTACGAAACAAAAGTGTATATTAATAACCAATAGTATTTTAGTAGGTCAAATAGCCCATGGTCAGTAAAGATAACAGTCCATTGTTTTCTGTACACACACACACACCACGAAATACATTTGATCGTAAGGATTAGATTTGCTTTTACGAGTTTGACCACGGATTGATATTAGTTAGAGAATCATTGAAGTCGTGACCAGTGAGGTACATCCAATCAAATGTGAAGATGGATGTCCCACCGATGACATTGGTTGGTGTCAGTCGTGCTGAATCACGAATTGGTAGAAGTTAAAATTCATGGGATGGCCATTGAATCGGGTCCCAGTGGCTGAATGGTATACGAACTTGCCTTGTAACTGGAAGGTCCTGGGTTCGAACCCCTTGTGGTCGGTGTGTACTGCCGATGATTCCCAAACTAGGATGAAACAGCTGTCCAGTACTCCTTGGCTGGTTTTCAATGGTTCCCTAACTGATATCAATCCGTGGTCAAACATCTAATTAAACCACAGTGCTTTCATCACCTTTAATAACCCTGGATTAAAGTTAAGTGTGAAATAATGATTGAGAAACAATCATTATTATTGATTTTGTGACCAGATATCTATCGTCAAAATTCCACTCTTAGACTAATCATTTCATGAATACACTCCAGTTGCGATTTAGCCATTGTTTACGCATTTTTTTGAATAATAATAATAATAGCTTTATTCCAAACAGTACTTTTGCTACAAATATGGAATTTTCAGCATGGAATACAATCAGTATTGCAACTAATTTTCTCATTACAGGGGCAATAATTAAAATAGGGGGCATTCACATTAATAATATTGCTCAATAAGAATATGTATATAAAATTAAATTAAGTGGACATAATAACGACAGTGTAACAATGGGAACAAAAAGAGGGCCGTTTACTTAGAGTTCTATGGTAGGTTGGTAATTTCCCGCCTTACAGTTTTCTCATCACATTAAAAATGTGTGCCTGCTAAATACGGTATTGTAGAGTTTTTGTACTAAGTCGTCCGAACATACAGTCTTCTATAGTTGCTTCTAATTCCATACAATCAGACAGATGCAAGGAGAGAGTTGTGTATGGAGAGGATGTTCGGAGTCTGATTAGATAATATTTGCTAATTTCTTCCAGGAATTCAAATATCTACCTACAGTGGTATTAATGAGTTGGTTTAGCAACACCCCACTCGCCCTACTGATGGCTTTTAGTGCCGTACGCAGTATAACAAAGTCTTTCTTAGGTAGCCCAAGGAAGATTAAGGGGGAATAGAAAAGAAGTATAGTCAGAATACAAGAATTAACAAACTGTAACAGTAGAGACGGAATGATACCAAACCGTCTTAACTTCCTTGCGTAGAACGTCAGACGAAATACCTTTCTGGAAACTAACATGATGGGGGAAGACCAGGAAAGATGATCAGAGAAAATACACAGTCCAAGATACTTAACATTCCAATAGGCTTTGACTTCAGGCACTGAAGTCTGTGATAATTGGACAGTGCGAAAAACCAGTTCACGTAAGTTGCGCTTGCATCTGAAAGTGAAATTAACAACCTGACATTGAGATTAAGCTTAAGACCATTTGACGAGGACCACTGACTTATTTATCATAAGAAGTTATTCATTTTGGAACAGTCTGTTTGAGAATTAAGAGGCATAGAAACGGTCAGATCATGGGCATACTTAACAAAATTCGCTTCGTAAGAATGGGGTAAGTCATGTAAGGAAGAACAACTGTCTGAGGAACACCAGCTAGAGCAAGTAAAGCAGTGGAGGACTTCCCGTTGTAAACAGTGTACTACTTCCAATCAGAAAAATAGGAATGCAACCATTTGGTAATCCAGAACTGTGCTTGTGATGCAGCAAGCTTGTTTAACGAAAGATTCCTAGGCGGAGTCGAAGGCAGATGTATAGTTTTCTTTGTGGTTTTATAACCCTCAATCATTCTAGTTTCTAAATAGAACATATCTGGCACAGGCATACAACGCTTTAGGTGCAATATTTGTATATTAATAGTAATCAACAATAACAATAATGAAACCAAAGTTACTCTCACCTGATAAAGCGAAAACATCAGTGTCAGATTACAATGTATCCCGTGTTTTGATTCAAGTATTTCACCTGCTTTTATACCTTCCCAAGTAGAGCTCAGCTTGATTAAGATACGTTCTTTAGAAACACCTAATTCTTCATACATTGCAACAAGACGACGAGCTGTTTCAACTTGTTTATTAATGCTAAATGAATATCTGTAAAAATAAAAAGGGATGAAGGAGAAAAAAAGTGTAAAAGTGAAAGCGATAGTGGAAGGTAATAGAGGAAGAAATGTAAAATAAGTAGATGATAAGCAAACTTACTTAGCATCTACTTCAGTAGAAACACGTCCAGGAACAACTTTCAAAATTTCACAGCCAAACAGGACACATATTCTTTCTACAGCTGTTTCAACTTGTTCATCTAGTGTTCTAAGAATAACAGTAACATTAATGGTAAGAAATAGTTTATAACACTATGCGTTACTTTTGTTTCTTTGCATACTGAATTGCAGAATCTAATAAATGAGAATATTGTGGCAATTTGCATGCAGATAAAATTAAAGATGGATTTGTTGTTGAATCAACCGGTAGGTACTGCTTCATAGCTACACATGGAGATAAAATGGAAAGGAGAATATGAATTTTTTAGTTATATAAAACGCTTACATTCAAAATCTCCAGTGTCACCAACGACGATGGTATGTTTTTTCAAATGCTCCAATGTAGACGACATAGTTTCCAGATTAACTATAAGGAAAAGTGAAGCGAATACAGAAATCAATTTATGAATATATACACGTCAAATAATGAACAATAACTGAAGAAAACAGGAAAATCAATAGAAGAATAACACATTTTGCGTGGCGAATGAAAGCTGATTTGAAGTGCCACAAGAAATAAGAAACAGTGGATGCTAATGAACTTATATACGATCACAAACTAGAAGAAAGTCATTGATGAATATTGATTCCTATTTAAGATGCACAAACTGAAGTACCAATGAAAAATAGTTGGATACAGCACCAACGAGACGGAGTTTAGGTTAAATGCTCTTCGGCGTACTTCATGACAATTACGCTGTAGTATGGATTAAACAGTTTTGGTCCTATTAGTTTAATCAATGGTTAGCGACTGCCATGAGCTATGACAGCATTAACTCATAAACTTGAATAATCACAGTTAGTTATTTGTAATTTATAAACTCCATGTGGTACATTAGACAAACTCCTAACTTCCGGACAGGAGAATTTAATCTTCTGAAGACAGATGTTTCCCTTGATTATCTTAGTTTCCCAACTTCCTTCCCTAACCCAACAGAATTTGCAATCACGTAGACGTCTTAGTCTACTTAAAGTTAACTGATGAGTAAGTTAACTAACTGCATATCACTTAGACTTTATTCAGCCAATTTGTGGTACAGCTATCCATTTCAAAATAATCTATCAATAACCTTACATAAAGTAAGAGTGCAAATTTACCATGCAAAAAGGAAAGTGAACTAAACATATTTGAAGACCATCTAATACACACCATCTATCAAGTGAGCCTCAAGGAAACTTTGTTTTTCACAGGCTGTTAGCTTCATTTTCATGCCACGCCCAACTTTTAGGACGGAATGCTACTCACGTTTTAACTCACAATACTAGTGGTCACGCGGAAGTTCTACGTCCTGCAAAACTTTTGCTCGATTTTTTTAAATGATTTTATTTCATAAGGCCCGATGCATGTCAGAAAACGAGGGTGTGAGAAAATCCCTTCGGAAAATACAGAGTAACAGCAATCAATAGGTTATCAATTAAATACAATCTAGTGTGAATATAAGTGCACTTCATGAAAAACATAACTGATCGCTATCACTGACCAGTTCTTCTTTAGTACTGGGACGTACACGCAGGTTTCATACAATAGGTGATAAAAGAAAACTGTTAAACTGTGGTTAAAACTGGACAATTATTTATAAAAACTGAGGTAAAAGTACAGTAGTTCAGATAAGGTCTGTTTAATCTTGTCAATACTGAGGTTTTATCTCCAGATATTTCTGGATGAATAAAACGTTACAAAAATCTGCTGAATATTTTTCATTTTAGTTATGATGAAAAGTTACAAATGAAACAATTTTTGACCCAGTTTGTGGCCATTAAAATTTAAGATGTTTTCTTCATCTATGACTTTATTTTGAAATCAGATTTTGTGATCTAAGTAACGCATAGCTCTCCTGTGAAATTCAAAATCACTATGCTTACCGTCTCTAGATTTACAAATTAGTTCTTTGACCTTCAGGACGAGGTCAGCCTTGACTTCTGTGCAGTAAAAGTAGCATTCAGATTCAGATTCAGATTTATTGGTTGAGGATAGAAGGCTTGGAGCCTATGTTAATACTTTTCTAGTAAATTTCTGTGGTTGTCCAAACCCTTCTTGAACGAATCAACTGAGGTTGCAGACACCACTTCTTCTGGGAGTCGGTTCCAAGAGTTTATGACTCGGTGGGAGAACCAGTACTCAACAGCAATATGATTTCTTCTTGGCTTTTGAACTCTCCTGCTATGTCCTCTAAGGTGTTCCGACCTGGTGGGAAGGAAAAGAGAAAATAGGTCAGGTCCGTAGTCATTATTTAAAATTTTAAACATTGTGATTAAATCTCCTCTCTGCCTACGGTATGACAAGGAGAAGAGATTTAAACTGTCTAGTCTTTCCTCGTATGATAAGTTAGTCATGCCATGAATCATACGTGTTGCTTTCCTTTGAACCCTTTCTAGAATAAGTGAGTCCCCTTTTAGACAAGGGCTGGCGGCCTGGATGCAGTTTTCCAGTCTTGACCTCACCAGAGATGTATATAAGGAAGTGAACATATCTCTGGTGATTCTAGTGAAGGCTCTACGAATTGCCCATAATGACCTGAAACTACGTGCAGCCACCGCGCGACAGTGTGCTGTCGTTTTTAAGTCGTGGCTAACTATGACACCTAAGTCCAAGTAAGTCTGAATTGATGGAAGTGTAATTCCCTCTAGTTCATAAGAGCTCGTGCTTGCTTGTCCAATGCGCATGGTTGCACATTTTGTCACGTTTATCGGGAGCATCCATTCTATGGACCACTCTGACAATTTGTTGAGGTCCTCTTGCAACGTGGACGTGTCACTGTTGCCCTTCAGCTCTCTCCAAATTTTTAAGTCATCTGCGTATAGGACCATAGAGGAATCGGTGAGCAGAGATAACTCATTGATATACAAAATAAATAGGAGAGGTCCAAGTACCGTGCCTTGTGGCACTCCGCTGCGTACTGCTGTCCAAGAGGAGAGTTTCGAGTTGATCCTAACCCTCTGCCTCCTATCTATGAGGAATTCCCTGAGCCAGTTTAGTAAGCTGCCTTTGATACCAAGACTTTCCAACTTCATGAGTAGTCTTTTGTGAGGTACTTTATCAAAGGCTTTGCTGAAGTCTATGAAAACGACGTCAACGGGTCTTCTGTTGTCCCTGGATTTAACCCAGTTTTCCCTTGCAGTGAGAAGATTTGACAGGCATGAGAGGTTCCTTCGGAAGCCATGCTGTGCTCTTGATAATAAGCTTCTATTTTCTAGGTATGCCATTATGCTTTTCTTGATGATTCTCTCCAGTGCCTTAATTAAAGTGCTGGTGAGACTGATAGGCCTGTAATTTGAAGGGCTTTGTCTTGATCCTCCTTTGTGGATGGGGGTTACTATGGCGTCTTTCCAGTCATGCGGTAACACTCCATTTTGGAGAGAAAGCTTGAAGATCGTAGTCAAAGGGCCGGCTATGTGTGCTGATAACTCCTTGAGAAGCCTTGGGTGAAGATTATCAGGACCCATTGATTTCCCTGCATCTAGTTTCCTTAGGCAGTTGAGCGCGATGCCTTGGTCGATGTCAACGGAACCTATCCCATGTTCTTCTGATGCAGCCAGAGCTGATCCGGTAGGCAGTGACGACTCCTGAGTGAAGACTTGGGAGAAGTAGTTTGACATTGCTTCTGCTTTTTCTTGATCTTCTTCGATTGTATCATTGTCAATAGTCAGGTTTGGGACACCATTGGATGTTTTATTCCTGAAGTTCATGTACGAGAAAATTTTCTTAGGTTGTGCCTTTGCATTTTGAGCCAGGTGTGCTTCGAATTTCATCCTTGATTTGCGGATTTCTGCAATAGATTTATTTCTAGCAGTGTTATATAATTGCCTGGTCTCAGAAGTCTCAAGTGTGGCAAACAAGTTCCAACATTTGTGTTTACGTCTAAGCAACTTACGAATCTCTCGGTTTATCCTAGGAGGGCAGTGTTTCCGACCCTTTGGGACAGACCAAGGGATGAAAGGTTCAGTTACTTGGGCGTACATTTGTTTAAATTGGTTCCATGCGGCTTCTACTTGAGACTCTGGGTTGATGTACCAGTTTACTGAGTTGGCTGCTGAGACGATTGCATTTATATCAGCTTTCCAAACGTTTGGTCGAGCTGGGGTTTTGGCCCTTGCTGCCGTTGCTGTGAACTTGAAAGTGAGCACAGCATGGTCACTTCTTCCTAAAGGAGGAAGATGTTGTATGAGATCTACATCCTCACCATGGGAGAACACTAGGTCCAGAGTTGAGGAGGAGTGCTGTGAGTCATAGCGCGTGGGCTTGATGATATGTTGGACTAGAGCTAACGATATACTAGATTCCAGCAGTTTATAATCAAAGGAGTTGACTGAGGATGAAGTTGTTACGCTCGTCCAGTCAACTGTTGGGGCATTGAAGTCGCCAACTACGAGACTTCGGCATTTCGAGGTCCAGGAGCCTAGCTTCTCTATCAGGAAGTCATCTGCACTGCAGTTAGGACTGCGGTACATAGCAATGAGGTCAATGTCTTGGCCTATGCATTTAAGTCTGCAGCGTAGAAGTTCGCACGACTCACTTTCGTGAGCGAGGGCTTCGATACTACGCACGGTTAAGCATTTCTTGGGGTAAATGACTACGCCACCTCCTTTGCGGTTTAGTCGGTCTACCCTATGCACTTCGAAGTTTGGCAGGTTAACTTCGCTGTCAGTGACATCGGGTGTGAGCCATGTCTCTGTGATAATAATTACATCCGGGTTTCCGGAGTCTATCATGTTAACCAGCTCAGTCGGTTTATTTAACAGACTGCGGGCGTTTGTGTAGCAAACTGTTAATCCAGTTTGGTGCTTCCCCGGCCTACCCACAGAGGTTTCGGGATCATTAAACTGCGAACTTGAACAACCCGAAAACCCTTAATCTTAAGGTTCTTTTCGCCGTTTCGGCGTCGTTCGCTTAATTCTAGGGCCACAGACTGTCTTTTGATACGGTCTGCCAGGCTTAAGTCGGCGCGGACATATATGCCTGATCCTTTAAGTATATAAGAGTTGCTTAGAATAGCATCCCTCTCTTCTTTAGAGTTTAGTACAACTTTGAGGAGACGTACAGGCTGACTTACTGTAGGGTCAGGCTTTTGGCCTATTCTATATACACTGTGTATAGTGATGCCTGATACTGTTTGTGGCAGTAGCTTGTCTAAAAGGGGCTTAACCAAGTTAAGGTCATGCTCAAATCTAGTCTTGGGTTCGGGGGCCAATGACTCTTCCACTTTGTGGAGAATGAGCGACCTGTCAGAGAGATCAGGTTTGCTTGCCGTGGTTTTCTTGCTCTGCGGCGTGAATGTCCTCCTGTCCTTCGTGGGCAGTGTGGCCAATGTATTGTCCTTATCTCGCTTTTTGCGAGAGACTACGTTACGCCATTCATTGGCGTTCTCTTCACTAGTCGTAGCAGGATTTATCTGCCTGCTACTCACAGGTGTGGATGACGCTTGATCCACTAGTACCTGGGTGACTTGAGTTGCGGGTTTACGACCCCTGGTACGCCTCTTCTTTGTGGCAGTCTTTCCGTTACTGCCACTGGAGGGCTTATCCAGTATCGTGGGGGCAGCCTGGGTGACTGGAATGTGGTGAG